CCCCCCCCCAGTCGTGTTGCTTTTGCTACAACCCAGGCCAGACCTCGTGCTGGTTGGTGCCCTGCGCTGCCAGTGAGGATGTCCGGGGGCTGAAGCCCCAGTCTGGTCTCACTCCTCAGGCCAGCAGGGGCTGGGCAAGCTGCCTCAGCCAGGGGAAATTAGCAGAGGCCAGGAAAGGAATTTGTTTCCAGTACCAGATGTGATGTGTGCAGGGGCTGAGAATCCAGCCAGCAGAGGCTGCGTCTTGTCTCTGCCTTTTCCAGGCAGAGGAACGGCTGGCCAGTCCTCTCCAAAACCCCCATCCTGGTTATTGGGTCCCCTGGGCACGGACAGCATCTGAACCAGTCGGTGGGGCCATACCGTGAGCACAGGATGCGGCTGGGCTCACACAGTGGTGACTTAGCGTGCATGGGAAGTGGAAAAAGGCCACACCAGGACAGCACTGGATTCTGAAATAACACAGGGCGGGCTGAGGTTCAAAACCCGCTGCATATCTAGGGCTCTCCCCCCCCCCGCCCCCATATATGGAGATATACCTATCTCATGGAGCTGGAAGGGACCCTGAAAGGTCATTGAGTCCAGCCCCCTGCCTTCATTAGCAGGACCAAATACTGATTTTGCCCCAGATCCTTAAGTGCCCCCCCTCAAGGATTGAACTCATAACCCTGGGTTTAGCAGGCCACTGCTCAAACCACTGAGCTATCCCTTCCCCTTCGTTTTGTCCCACATGAGTTTGTTCTCCCTTCCTTATAAGCCCCTTTCTGACCTCAGCAAGGCTCAGCTCTCACTGTCATATCCAAGGCCGGAGAGGGGCTGCTTTCTCCCTCTGGTGTGACCTGGTCTCCAAACCATGGGGCCACACTCCGAGCTGGTGTCCGTGATGCTGCGATGGCGTTAAACCGGCTTTAACTCCATGGAAGCAAGTGCCATTGCATCCGCTCACACCAGCTCTGAATCTGGGGGTTGGTTTGCCTATAGGACTCATGTCACGGGCAAGCTGCTGCTCTACAGAGCTTAACTTCTTAAGGGCCTGAGCCTGGGAGGGGGGAGTGCCTGCTGAGGCCACAGGATCAGGCCCCAAGGAGAATACCAGAGCCACTCCCACTGTACACAGCTGCTAAAGTAGGTCTGGTGGTTGGCTGGGGTGTGGGAGGCAGGCGGTGCGATTGACTGTGAAGCCCTTATGGTTTCCTGTGTGCTGACACAGAGCCTGTTTGCCTTCCCATTGTTACTCACCCCACAACTCGAGCCTGCTTCTGCGAGAGGCCGTGGAAATGTGCGGCAGCCGAGCTCTCTGACAGTGGGCACAGCATTTCCACTCGCCACCCCGTCCCCGGAGCCGCGAGACCAGGGCCTCGATGTGCCGGCCAGAGTGGTGAGTGGGGGGAGGGCGAGGGGAAGGAGCGGTTGGGTGACCTGGACGCACCAAGGAGTCTTGCAGATAGGCCCTGGCCCCAGCTGGACTTGGCCTTGTCAGGCCTGTCCACACAAGCCATATGTGCACGTTGGGGCACCGGGTTCCAGTGCCAGAGGGCCCCCTTCCACGTCCTAGTGGGCTGACTCCATCTGCCATGTCCCCCGGAGGGGGCATGTGACGGTGTGGTAGCTGGGCTAGTGCAGGCAGGCTGTTAATGGCAGAGGGTTTCTGTGATGTCCTGGCAGAGTCCGGCAGCGGGCACATGGGGGTACGAGCTGTGTCCTTCCGAGGAAGGACAATGGGATTGCAGGGCGGGATAGGCGATGCCACCACCAGACCAAGGTCGGGTGCTCTGGGACTGGGAGCTCCCAGATAGCCCCCTTCCCATGGCAATACTTAATGCCAACCCGACTCTCCCTCACACATTTTTTGCTACATTGAGGCTCCCAACTTTGCATGGACCCAATACCCAGGCTGGGGATTTCAGGCTTGGGGGCTGCCTCTCATTTTAGGTTGAATCGAAACCTAAAGCTGGGCCCCGCCCAGAACCTCACGGCTGAAGCTCCCTGAATTTCAGGAGGATCTGACTCTCCGGATCAGAGTCTCTCCTCCACGCCGTTATACCTTTAGTTTCGGATCAGAACCAGGAGGGGCTTGTTACCCACTGGGATCTCAGGTCCTGAACAGCCATTCTTCGGAGATTTGGACCTAAGGAGAAATCTCACGAGAACAGACGATCTTGCAAGGTTTCCACCAGTGGCTACCAGAATAGCTTGTGGGACAGAAGCACCATGGACCCTGAATCCCAGTCTGGATTCAGCCTGCAACTCCCATGCCCGCTTGAATGCAGAGCAGATGCCCTGTTCTTAGCCCCGCTCTGTGTAAATACCAGGCTAATCTGACTCCATATTCATTTCCAAGCACATCACCCCTGTGCTGGCTCTGTTAAGAACTCGCTGACAGGCCCGATTGAAACTTTCCCTCCCCCCTCCCTTTCTGATTCTGCTGCGTTAGGTGGGTCAGAGTTCAAATGCCATCTTATGCTCTGGGCCCCCATCTTTTTTCTCTTCTTTCCCCTCCCTTCCTTTCTTCCAAGCAGGTGCCATTACTCCAGCATCGGGCTGGCTCCAGGACAAAGTGCCACGGCTCCAGAATTCAGTGGTGTCATGCCCACTTGGGCCCAGTATCATTAGACCCCGGCTTATAGTTGGGATCCCAGTATTGGCAGCCCCAAGCATTCAAAGATCAGGTGTCAGGCGCCCAGAAATCATAAGAGTGGCTTAAAAATGACAAGATTTTGAAAAATAATATATTTGGGGTCCCTTTCCTTGGCCTCGTGCTGTTTGAGTCCTTAGGGAGCACTTGGGTCATGTTCTTCAGTGTTTCTAGGCAACCATGTGGGCTAGGAACTTTTTCTTTTAAGTGGAAGCTGCGATTGGCACCTAATAACGTGATGCCCCCCAGGAGCGGGGGCTTCAAGAAAAGCACCAACTGGAGCCAGCCTCGTGCTAGAACGGTGAGACTTAGCGATGCCGGAATCCACCTGGCTGGGCCGTGCCAGGAACGGCTGCGTGGGATTCTCCCCTGGCTTGGCGCAAAGCGGCAGCAAGGAAGAGGGAGCCCTTCCAGGTGAGGAACGGCATCCATCCCCCAAAACACCTTTGCCTGGGAGATCACAGGCTCACGGCCCGCTCGGTCCCAAAGTTTGAGAGAGAGTGCGTACAAGATACAGCCCCGGAGCCCTAGAAACTCAGCAAGGAGGGAGACCTGTTTACTCCAGCCATTCAGCATGTGTCTAGGAAAAGGGGAAATCAGGCCGGATCTGAAGACAGTGGCAGAGCCACAAGAATGCTTTGGCTCAAAGCGTCCTTATGGGCTCCCCCTAGCGGCAAATCATATGAATTTCAGCAGTTCCATTCTAGGAGACTTCACTGGCAGGACAAGCTGGGTGCCGGTTGCCAAAGTGTAATTCGCGGGGCAGATCCTTTAGGTGGCTATTGAGCGGTTAGCACCTACCTCCAGGGCGGAGCTGCGCACTGTGCTGGGGTTTGGTCCGTTTTTGTTGGACTCCACGTCTGTGCTGTCGAACTACCACACGAGCTGCAGCAGGAGAGGCGGACGTAGGAGGAGCAGGAGATCGGCTGCAAGGATTGTGGCTTCCCATCCACGCTGGGAAGATGCTGTTGTAGCTGCATTCAGCTAAAACCCTTGGCCCAGGTAATGCGACCCGCTGGGCCTATCGGAGCCTGAATCCTGGGCTCGGCTACGGAGCGTGGATACGTTGCTGCCAGCTCAAGACGTGCCAGCCAACTGCTTGTTGTGGTGCTTTGTGCTTGGGATAGACAGGAGGCCAGGAGTTGCTGGGGCCTGGCATCGTGCTCAGGCCGTCAGACCTGGCTCTAAATGGACAACCTACCTAATTCTCAATGACTGAAGGACGGCCTCCACTCGTTGAGATAGTTTGCTTTCCACAACCAGCTTCTCCTGAGTGATGTACCCGAGTATTCGGATTCCAGTATCTAAACTGTATTGTTAAATCTATTCACCGAAATGTGGGTTATGGCGAATTATGTGCTCTACAGGTATGATGTGACTTTTCAAAACTAACTCTGTATTTGTGAAAGCAGCAAAGAGTCCTGTGGCACCTTATAGGCTAACAGACGTATTGGAGCATGAGCTTTCGTGGGGGAATACCCACTTCGTCGGATGCATGGCTGTATTTGTGGATAGTCTAAGCACTCTACCCAGATGTACAGACACTCCTTTCCCAGCCTATGTATTCTATCATTTTTTTAACATTAGCTTTAATAACATTTTCAAGCGTGGCACTATTACTTTCCTTGTTTGCGTGGTCCCCTGCCCAAGACGGGGACATTAGATGGCATGCCCTCTGCATTCTCCTTAGGGTGCACTAATGACCCATGTTCTCTTCCCGCAGATCTCCGTGTGAAGTGGATTTCTGAAGTGGCTCCAGACCGTGGTGAAAGGATGGCTGGGCCCCATCTGCCCCCCTTCACTGCCGCCCTGGGACTGGCATTGCTTGGTGTCCTGGTCTTCCTCTCAGCCCTGTGTGCTGCCTGCAGAAGGTACATGGCTGACCCTCCCTCTCACAGCGTAAACCGTGAGTCAGGGGAGAGCAAACCTGAGGAGTTTTGCATGGGTCATGGAAGGGTTAATTCATACATGGATCTCCTTTGGCTTAGGTAGTGGCAGTCTGTATGTCGGCCCCTCTCTCCCATCCCCAAGTCCCGCTGTCCCTCAAATGCAACCAACCGTGGCGCCGTGCATGCTGGGGCAAGGCTGTGGGAGCTTAGCTGATGCTGTGTGGATCCCCACCTATCCCTGTAGCTCAGCAGTGCAGGAGTAGGGGGACCCCAGTGTCCAGATTTCAGTTGCCTGGGATGAAACCCCCAGCTGCAGACATGCAGCCAGCTTCCAAAAGCTCCCACCCTCCTGCTTCACGTCTCTCCCCTCCACCAAGGACTATCCCTGTCAGGTTTGTGCCCCAGCATCAAAGCAGGAACAAAGCTCCAAGCCAGCGCTGCACTGGCTGCAAACACATGAGTCACAGGCTAGGGAGAGGCCGGTATCTCCCAAACTGGCTGCTGCTTCCAGCCAACCCAAACCACAAGCCACAAAGCCCAGCCAGGCTCCCGGTTCCCAGAGCAACTCCCAGCCCTGCAGAGGGCGGGGATGGGATCAAAATCAGCCCTGTACTCTCAGCTACGACTGCGTCTCTCCCCTTGCTTCTCTGATGCCTGGTCTCCAGGCCCCAGCGCTTCCCTGGCAGAGCAGCTGCCCCTCACTGTCGTAAAAAGGGGGCTGGACGTATCTGTCCCGGCTAAGTACAGTGAGACCTGACTTAACCCCCCACCAAGGGACCGGGAAAGATCTGTCTCCTTGCAGAGGCCAGACCGGATTGTCCTGGGAAGGGCCTAGGGAGGCTTAGGACAAAGGGCTGCCCACTGGAGGTGGGGTTGGGCCGTTGCTCCCAGTGTCACCAGGCCATGTGGGTGGGGTGCGGCTAATAGGAGGATTTGGCCCTTATGCCACCACAGAGATTCAGAGCAGGGAGGTTAGGGGAGCCTGCAATGCCAGGGGGAAGTGATCCCGGCTGGGCAAGGGCTGGCTGGCCAGGAGCCCGGTCGCAGCTAAGCTCCCAGCAACACCCCTCCGCCCCTTGGCAGCCGCACGAGCCCAGGAAAGCGGCCAGGGCCTGGAGGCGTGTGTCAATCCCACCAGATCCTCATTAAGCACTTCCCATAGGCTGATGTGTAAGGAGGGCACGGCACAGCTGCGGAGATGCCAGGCCCTTTGAAGAGGGAGCCTTGAGGTTTCCATCAGGGTTAGATGCAACTGAGCACGTCGAAGGTCTTGTCAAGGTAAAGGGAGTGGGCAGGATTCCTACGCCAAGCGCAGCAGGAGCACGCAGGGTGCCCTGCAGCACCAGGCTGTCGGAGAGCCCAGACGTGCAGGGGGGAAGGGGGGCCAAGTGGCAGCCGCCCTTAGGAGAGCAGTGCTGCAGGAGGTGCAGGGTGTGGGCGTGCCGCCTCCCACCGTGTCCAGGCCTGGCTAGCGGGGGCACTGGAAAGATGCGAGGCAGGACAGTCACAGGGGTGTATGGGCCCAGTGGATCCGGAGCGGCGGGCGTGCTCACGGGAGCGTGTGGGCGTGGATGCAGAGTGGCGGGCAGGCTCCCGGGCACAGGTGCAGTGAGGCGGGCACAAACGCGATGCACCGTGTTGTACAAGCTTAGGAGCTGTGCAGTGCCAACAGGATACCATGTCACGGGCATGCTGCAGCTGGTGCCCGCACAGGCAGGATGTGGTGTGTTCGTCTGACTGAGCCGCGCAGCTGTACGATGCACTGAGTAGTCTCAGGAAGCCGAGAGCGCTCGCTGACGGTGCTCTCATTAGGATCATGACCACTGTACCTGCAGTAGGAAACGTGGCCTCAGATATAACAGTGATGGGCACTGTGTAAGACCCTGGATACAGTACACCTGGATCCGCTGGGCTAGCCGTGAGAAGCAGATTCCTCGAGTGATTAGTATTCACCAGTGCTCCACAGAGACAATACGTTAAAGCCGAGGCTTTAGAAAGTGACCGGTGGTTTTGGGTGCCCAGCTAGAGATGTCACTGGGGCCTGATTCCCAGGGGCAGGCTGAAAATCGGGCCTGTTGGAGGCCTCTCCACTTGGGCCCCCGGAAACGCTGATCACGTTTGAAAATGTTGCCCTCCAGGCCACAGGAAAGCTCTTCTCACCTGGTGCTTGCTGGCGGATCTTTCGCCACCATCCAACCTTTGGCTTAATCCCTCTCCTTGCAGGAAAGCTAGGAAGAAGGTGGTCCCACCGGATGGGGTGAAGCTGGTAGATGTGGTAAGTGCGCACATTGGCTAGATAAGCTAACGGCCCCAAAGCCAGGCAACAACCAGTGGGAGCTGGCCTGGGGGAGCCCGGCGGCACTGCCTTAGGAAAGGGCCGGGATGGCCGTCTCCTGGACAGCAGCTGTTGCAGGAAAAGCTCTAGAAATGAGCTGTCTTAGAGCCCCATCCTGCACTGAGCACCTCCTCCTGGGTCTGTGGGAATTGGGGGTGCGCAGCACCTAGCTAGGACCGTCTGGAAGACTCTGGGGAAGAGCTGTTGAGGTGGAAGGTGGAGCGAGTCTTCTCTGCCTGGAGTGAGCAGCCCGTGGGAAGGGGGATCCTTGGGACGGCCTGTAGAAAGGTGACTGGGATACTGCTCTGGGAGGGACCAGCTGAGCCGGGAGCCAGGTTCTAGCCGACACAGGAGTTTGTTCAGAGGCAATAATTCAAAAACACGAGCAGCAGGGAGCTGGAGTGCTCGTTAAACAGCCGGGACCGGCCTCCACCAAGCGTATTACGTGACGGGGAGAGGGCGCTGAGCCCGAGCTATTGCTGGATGTGCGTAAATCAGAAGGGAAAGTTCACCAGCACTGCACTAGGCGGCTGGAGCAGGCTTGCCGGGCAGAGCCGTTCGGGGAGGGCCTGGGGCAGTGCAGCCTGGCTGTAGGGTGCGGTGCCCCCTCTCCCATTGTGAGGGATCCCACAAAACGGCCGCAGGGTTGGTAAATGCAAAGTACTGCACATTGGAAAACATCATCCCAGCTACACGTACACAATGCTGGGTTTAAATGAGCGGTTACCGCTCAGAGACCTTGGCGTCATCGTGGATAGGTCTCTGCAAACGTCTGCTCGACGGGCAGCGGCAGTCAAAAAAGCGAACAGAACGTTAGGAAGCGTTAGGAAAGGGACCGATAATAAGACAGAAAATTTCCTAATGACACGATATAAATTCGTGGTACCCCCACCCCCCGAACGCTACGTGCAGTTCTGGGCTCCCCATCTGAAACAGATATATTAGAATTGGGAAAAATACAGAGAAGGGCAACAAAACTGATTACGGGTGTGGAACAGCTTCCATATGAGGAGAGATTAGAAAGACTGGGACTGTTCAGCTTGGAAAAGAGACGACTGAGGGGAGACATAATCGAGGTCTATACAATCATGAATGGTGTGGAGAAAATGTGCAAAGAAGTGTTGTTTACCCCTTCACATAAGACAGGAGCCAGGGGTCACCTAATGAAATGAATAGGCAGCAGGTTTAATACAAGCAAAAGGAAGTACTTCACCCCACAGCACACAATTAACCTGTGGAACTCACTGCCAGGGGATGTTATGAAGGCTAAAAGTATAACTGGGTTCAAAAAAGAATTAGAGAAGTTGATGGAGGATAGGCCCATCGGTGGCTATCAGCAAAGATGGTCCGGGATGCAATCCCATGCTCTGGGTGTCCTATAATCTCTGATTGCCAGAAGCTGTGACTGGATGACGCGGGATGGATCACTCTGTAAACTGCTCTGTTCTGTTCATTCTCTCTGGGGCAGCTGGCTCCAGCCACTGTCGGAAGTCAGGACACTGGGCTAGCTGGACCATCAGTGTGGCCGCTCTTACGTTCTTATGAGTCTAACTGGTGTGTCTCCTCCTTTCTTTGCAGTCGTTGCTGAGGCAGATGCAGCTCCGATCGCTCAGTAAATCTGACACCAAACTGCATGAGCTCAACAGGGTGAAGCGCACGGACGAGCGTGAGTGGCTGTAAAGTTCCACGGTAGCTGGAGCTGAGGTGCAGAGCGATCCGGCGGCTCTGGGGCTGGGAGGGCACCGATGCGAAGGGAGATAGTGGCTGTGCCCGCGGGGCAGCGCAGCCTTCCAGCTGCAGGGATACGGGGGTGGTTCTCCTGACATCCTCTCTGGTAGGGCTGCGTTGCCTGCTCCTGGATGGCTGGTATATTCCTGCGATCACACAGGATCGTTGCATGTGCAAGTCCTCCTCGTTAGCATGAGCAATGACACTCGCTGCACGCTGTGAATGAGCTTCCTGGTGAAGGGGGATTGGCAAGGGCAGGGAATTATCATCACTTATCTTTCTAACTCTGCTTGGTGAGTCCACTGAAAGCCAGCCAGCCAGCGTCCCCTACAAGAGCTGGCTGGCTCCAGCGCGGACTCCTCACGCCCCTTCTCTTCTCTTCCCAGACCAAAGACCAGCCAGCGTGGATTTCCTTTACCCATCAGGGTCTTTGGGGGATGGAGAAGGAGCCGTGCATAGCTCGAGCTTCAGCATCCTGCTGCACCGAGAGCTGCCCCAGATCCCCAATTCCAACCCTTCGGCTGACGCCCTGAGTCCTGACCAGACCTACTCAAACGTGTCCTTCTTAGCCCCGCTGAAACCAGCCCCGGAGGCGCTGTACGAGTGTGCGGCCGTGACTCAGGAAGGGCCTCAACCGATGCCCATCTTGGGAACCCCAATGGAGGCTTCCCCTCTAAGCGAGGAGGACAAGGCAGTGACGGCTGAGTATGCCTGTGTCCGCAAGGTGAAGAAGAATTTCCAGCCAGAGCTCCAGGATGAGACACAGGGCGAATCCTCCGTGGGGCCTGCAGACCCAGAAGGCTGGGAAGGAGCTGCCTGTAACCCCGCAGCGGTGAAGGTACAGTAACATCCATCACCTCCTCCCGCGCTGAGCCTCACAGCGCTGGGGGACGGGAGACGGGCAGTGTCGGTGCTGGGTGGGTAGGAACACGCCGCCTGGTCCTGAATGGAAACCCAGAGCTTGGCTTGCCATTATCCAGGGGGTCGCATTGTTCTTTATTTGTGAGGATTCAGGTGGCCGGGGAGATCTGTGGAAACGGTTACAAATCCCGCCAGCCTCCTGAATGTCGGCAGAAAGGGTATATTTATTAGCAATAGCACCGAGAGGGGCCGTTGTGCTGGGAGCTGAAGAAACACAGAGCACAAGGACTGACAAGCCCCAAAGAGCTGAGTGCTTTATTCTCTGGCCCCTGTTATACAGGAGGTTCAGGGTAAAGGATCTCGCCTTAAACTCTATGAATCTACCGATTTATTTATTGTTTGTCAGCCCCTTCCATTTGAAATGTCTCAGTTATCCAATCAGGGAGCAGAAATGGCAGCATGTGACTTTGGCAGCCAACCACTCGCCATGAATGGTGACTAGTCAAAGCAAACAGTGTGGGAACAGCCCAGAGTTTGAGGATAGTCATCCAAACTCATCACCTCTAGTAAAGAAAGGTGAAGGAGGTGGGAATCGACTTGCAAACCCACTGTCATGGAGATTGGGTCCCTCCTGTGGAAGGGGGGAACAGAACTGAATGCAAGAAGGAAGCCAGAAGCTCGGGATAATTTTTAAGCTCTCAGAAAGTTCTAAGTGGAACTAGAGCAGGAGGCCCCAGAAGTGTCAATATTGTGCCTGTGAAAGGCCCAAGTGTTGGGAATTGCATGCGCAATCTTAGTAAATGCACATGCAAATGTACATGCAGTACTGAAAATGTGGGCCTTGATTTCTTTCCCCCTTAAACTGGAGTCCCACCGCCTTCCCTCCCCCACTAAAGAACACACTTAACCAGTGTTGCTGTTGCTTTCATTCTGGGGAGGGGTCTGGGTGCAGACTAGCTGCAAGATGATCCTTGGAAGGTTTCCTTACAGGAAGATTCCAGGTCCACCTCAAACAAAGCTTGATTGGGCTGGTGCTGATGCCTACTGGACTAAGATTCTAGGTCTATTAAATCTAGGGTGACCAGATGTCCCGATTTTATAGGGACAGTCCCGATTTTTGGGTCTTTTTCTTATATAGGCTCCTATTACCCCCCCACCCCCGTCCCGATTTTTCACACTTGCTGTCTGGTCACCTTAATTAAATCCTCTGCTCCTAGGCGAGCCACTCCCCCAGCCTGTACTGGTGATCTGACCTGCCTTAACCACACATCAGAGGGGGTTTGAATTAACTCTGGATTTTGCCTGTGCTTCGGGAAGGAAGTAGAACAGTTTATCCTGTCCTCACTGTTGTAACCGGGTATCTGCTGGGCTGATGAGTAGCTTATCAGCTGAGTTCAGGAGCTTGCAGGGGATGACTTGTGCAGCAGGGTTCAAGGGTTCCCCACAGTCCCTAAGGCAGATCTCACCTTGGGGGATCACTGGGGCATCGGGCAGCTCAGTCCGGGCCTTATCCAAAACTCACGGGAGGAAACAGGAGGTTTTGCTTTGCTTTAGGTAACTTGCGGCTCTGGCCCTCAGGATTCAACTCCACAGGTGGCTGAGGGGATACAAAATTGGTCTGGGAGAACGAGACCCCTTGGAATGATTCAGGGAAAACACTTCCCTTAAACATGTGCACACATCTGCATGCAGAGCTGGTGAAAATCTTTCTGATAAAAAGTTGGGTTGGGGGGAGGAGAGGTTGGTGAAAGTGTTTTTTCAGCAAAATAAGACTTTTTGACAAAAAAAAAAAATTATAATTTTGGTCAAAATTTTCCAGCCAACCATTCTGAGCTGTGCGTATGTGTTTTGATGGGTGAAATCCCAGCCTCTTCCCCCATGTTTTTCTTCCTCCCCCAAATGTTTTCCACTGGAAAATGGTAGGGGGATGTTTTTATCCACAGAAAATTGCCAGTCTTTTCACCAATAAACACACATTGTGGGACATTTCAATTAAATGAACAAACGGTTTGTTTCTGTCGACATTTTTGTGAAATATATTTGCCCTTTTTAACAAATACCAGCGCTGGGTGGGTGGGCGTGAGCTTGATGCGGACCTGGCTGTAGTGGCAGGCACTCATCCCAGGAGTGCCCCCTGGCAGCCCAGTGTGGAACCACACTTATGTCTGCCTCGGTTTCCCCTAGTAAGCTTTCAGTACGTTCAGTGAGACTTGTATACAGTGAAAAGTGCCCCTTCAGAGGTCTGGTTTATTAAGCATGGTACGTAAAGAAGCCGTCTCCTTCTGCTCTAAGTCTCCAGGCTTCTCCACTGCCTGGAGCTCTGCAACCTCTCGTCTGTACAACTGGAGTCTTTGTCTTTCTCCTTGGGAGCTTTCTCTCTTTGCATTCTGGGGGGATCTGAGCAGATGCCTCTACTCTCCAGGGTGGCACCACTGGGAGTAGCTTCTCTCTCCCCCGGAGCTTCTTCTGTCCTGGGGCCTCCCGACTGAGCGCTCATAACCCTTTATACAGCCCAGTGTCGGGACTGGGACAGTTTGATCTAGTGGCCAGAGCCAAAGTCTAAGCCACGGGTCAGAGCTGGAATCGGGGAGCAGTAGCCACTTGGGAAGTCTCTCAGTTGCTTGGACAACTCCCTGTGTGTCCTTCTGGCTTAAATTGTATGGTGGGGCCAGTCGTCATCCCCAGTCTGGATTCTTGTGGGCTGGGGTCGAGTTCTGCTAGCCCCTCACTTCCAGCTGTTCTGGGTGGGCCGGTGGGAAGGCTGCCTGGCACCTGTGAGCCCTTGCACCCCGGTGTTCTGTAACTAACTGCAGCTCAGCGACTTGTCCAATTAACTATGCACAGGTGGGTTGGCTTGTTCTCCCTAGTGGAGCCGGTCACAGGGAGACTGCCTGGCCGGCTTCTCAGAAGCCAGTCCCCGGGATATAGGCAAATCTATTCACTTCAGTCGATTTGTCTCCCATTTACGCCAGGTCTGAAGTTTTGCAGAGGGTGATCCCTGCAAAGAATGGGCCAAGGCCAGGGCAGGGGTAAGCCAGAATAACGCTGGTGACTTTCGTGGAGTGGCAGGTGCTTTGAGCAGAGCAGAATTTGCCCTGTTTGTTTTCATGGCGAGGGATCGCCTAGCAGGGCTGCGCATATCAGATATGCAAGAGGCTTTTTTCCAGCCTTGCCCAATTCCCTCCTCCTTCCTTGTGGTCTCGGAGCGCAGGCATCATCTGGATAATGCTCCTTCCCCTT